CAGGGAGATCAGCCAGCACCTACTGCAATAGTCCAGGAATGGAGTGTCCTGCACCAGAATGGGGTCGTTCTCAGAGGAGAGGAGGGGGTGGATAAAAGAGATGCTTGAAGATCGAATCAATGAGACTAGCAATAGATTGGATATGGGAGGGAGAGATGGAGGAGCTGAGGATGATGCCTGCGTTGTGAGCCTTGGTGACGGGGACAACGACGGTGCCCTTCACAGTAATGGGGAGAGGGGAGGGCTTGGCCGGGAAGACGATGAGTTCAGTTCTGGACATGTTGAATTTTTAAGATGTCTGGAGCCCATCCAGTTCAAGATGTCCAGGTGATAGTTGGAGATGTGAGACAGAGGCTAGGGTCGGATAAGTAGATCTGAGAATCATAAGCAGAGATGACCACTGGATCTGTGGGATCTGATGATCTCATCATCACGGTCATCATCATCATCAGGCATGATCTCATGCCTCAGTAAGTAAATACCAAATACATAGAAAGCAATACAATCTTGTTTCAAAATGTAGAGCATTCTAACATCTGGGAAAATCTTGCCTTCATGTAGGCCTGAGATGCTTAGTCTGGGGCCCGTGAACCCCTGTAGGTGATGCATGGATAGATTTCATGGCATTCACAAACTCTTTGTTGTTGTTCAGTCATTTCAGTTGTGTGTGACTCTTTGTGACCCCGTTTGGGGTTTTCTTGGCAGAGATATTGAAGTGGTTTGCTATTTTCTTTTCCAGTTCATTTGACAAATGAGGAACTGAGGCAAACAGGGTTAAATGACTTGCCCAGGGTCACACAGCTAGGAAGTGTCTGAGGTTGGATTTGAATTCAGGAAGATGAGTCATCCTGACTCCAGGCCCCGTATTCTCTCCAATATGCCACCTAGCTTCCCTGGTCCATAACTAGGACAGGGCAGCGGGAGGGGAATAACACCTTTATTTTCACTAGCCTCTGAAATTTCTCATTTTCATCCATTTTGATCTGAGAGGTGGGCCATAAGCTTCACCAACCTGCCGAAGGGGTCTAGGACACAAACAACTTCAAGGATTGCTCCTAATGCACAGCCCTGCTCCACTCCTCATCCATCTCAGGCTTCCACTTGGCTATTGCCCCAAGGGCAAAAATGGGAACTTGGAGGAATCTGGCCTTTTTTGCTCCTGTCCCAATCCTGGCCATTGCTATCTGTGTGGCACACACCGACAGTTTGGAGGCCCACAAAACACTCCCATCCTGGGAGGGGATGCCAGTGTTCAGATGGTAATGCCGCACAGACAAATGGAGGCACTGTGGGACAGTGGAGAAAGTATTGTTCTGGGGCCAAAGGAGATGGCTTTAAGTCTCTCCTTTGATGCCTACTGCCTGTGTGACCTTGGATGACTCATTGAATCTCCACCAGCCTGTCTATGAAATGATAGGGGGCAAAGGTCCTGAGGTCCTTTCCACGTCTGGGTCTACGATCTCATAGTCCTCAGAAGAGGGTCTCACTCTCAGTCTGCTCATGGGTTCAAAAGCTTGTGCTGTTTGTCAAGGGGGTGAGACTGTCAAGTCTTAACCCCCCTCTATAGTAAGCTTCCTATAGCTTTTCAAAATCTAGTACGAGGTGGACCAGAGGGGAGTTCAGTAAAGACTTGATTGACTGGAGAGGAAGAGGCTTGCCTGGAGACCGTATATTTTCCTCTATAGTTCATTCATTCAATCTTTTATTCATTCATTCATATATATTCATACAGCTCATTCATTCCAGGCAGCTGCAGGTGCAGTGGATAGACAGCCAGCCTGGAGTTAGGAGGACCTGAGTTCAAATCTATGCTATACGATCCTGGGCACGTCACTTAACCTCTGTCTACCTCAATTTCCTCATCTGTAAAATGGTGATAATAATAGCACCTACCTGCCAGGGTTGTTGTGAGAATCAAATGAGATGGTATTTGTGAGAAGCGCATATTAGGTGCTACTTAAATGCTTATGTTTTCATTCTCTCATCAGACACCTGTCTGACTTTCAGCTGAGCGCTACAGCTGAGCAACCTTCAGAGGGGTGGGTCGGCCATGCTGCTGCAGGAATAATGCCATAGGACCCTCCTCAGCCGAAGTTGAGTTCAGGCACTGCCGTTGTCCTCAGGGAGCTTGTAGTCTTGTAGGGGATGCTCTTTGCACACGGATAGTTCTAATAAACAGCATTGTGTGATGTGAAGAGGTACAAAGACACGTGGGGGGTTGTTAAAAAGGACTGAAATCTACAGGAATGAGTAAGAGGGAAGACTTCCTGGAGGAGGTGGCTTTTAAGCTGGTGTTTAATGGTGTTTAAAGGGGTTCAACAGGAAAGGAGGGAGGCAGCATGTTCCAGGGGAGAAAGTTCTAGAGTAAGAGGAACAGGGTTCAAATCCTGACTCTCACGCTTACTGCGTAGATGACCTTGGGCAAGTCACTTCTATGGGCCTCAGTTTCCTCACCCGTAAAATGAAAGGATGAAGGATGTTTGACTTAGATGGCTCCTTAGAGGCCCATTTCAGCTCCAAATCTGTTTTCCTATGAGGCCATCCCAGGCTAAGGTCTAGAGGTAAGAAGGCAGATTTAGGGGAGAAAGAATAGACCAGCTTGGTTGGAGCATTGCATAGAGATAACAAAGGTTTCCTGTCATTACCATCTGGACTTGTGATTGTATGGATGTAGGGAGCTCTGGGCGAGGAATTCCAACCAATGGACACCTGCTCTGTGGCCTTAAGGGGCACAGAGAGGTTAAGTAACTAGCCCATGGTCACACAGTTAGGGTGGGTCAAAGGCAGGACTTGAACTCAGGTCTTCCTCTAATCCAACCCCCCCCTATTTTATAGACAGTAAAGAGGTGCTCTGGTAGTAATTAGACAGCATCCTAGGTCTAGAACTAGATGGGTTCTCAAGGCCAGCTGGTCCAACCCTCCTATTTTACAGATGAGGAAACTGAGGCCCAGAGAGTCTAAATGACTTAGCCAAGCTGGTAAACTTACAGAATCATAACTCTAGAACTTGGCAGGGATCTCAGAAGGCATCAGGCAGGGGGGTCCCCTCATCCCTGCCCCCAGGAAAATAGCCCCCAGAGATATGTCTAGACCCACAAAATTAGTCAATGTGGAAGGGCGATGAGGTTTCCTTAAAACCTCCCAATAAAAGCAGGTTATACCAGCAGACACTGGGAAGGGTCTAGATCAATCAATCAGTCATCCAGTGGGTATTTGCTTTGCCCAAATGAGTTCCCCAGACAACCAGTCATCTGAACAAGGAAAGTTCTGAGACTACTAGGAGCTGGTGCAGTCAGGGAGGGCTGTGTAGAGGAGGGCGACTCTGAACTGGGACTTGGAGGGTCAGTAGGATTTGGATAGAAACCACTATATGGTACCGAGCTCCTGCTTTCCGCCTCGGTGCCCAGCCTTTATTTACCAGCTCTCATCTAGATGGTCTGGGGGAAGAGGAGGGTGGGGATGAGGGGAGTAGGGCTCAACTCCCACAGGGGAGTAGGGGGAGAAAGAATCTGATCCATACACTATTTCCCTGTAAGGGGGTAGCGGCAGGGCCCTGAGCCCCAGGGTACACATCCAATCAGCTCCAGGAGAAATGGGAGAAAAGGACCCTCCCTTTTCTGTCACTGCCCAAGTCATTTAGTCCACAAACATTTATTAAGCACTTACTATGTGCCTGGCACTGTGCTTAACCCTGAGTATACAAACACAAATAGAAAGACAGCTTGGAGCGGGGAGGGGGAGATGAAGGAATCCTGGATGGTCAGGAGCCCCCCAAAGAAGAATGAATGAGGCAGCAACCATTTATGAAGTGCCTACTATGTGCCAGGCAGGCGCAGCTTAGGGGGCACAGTGGATAGAGTACAGGCCGGGAGTCAGAAAGACTCAAGTTCAAATCCAGCCTCAGACATTTACTAGCTGTGTGACCCTGGGCAAGTCACTTCACCCTGTGTGCCTCAGTTTCCTCATCCTCATCAGTCAGATGATCAGGAGAAGTAAAAGGGAAGCCAGTCCAGTTATCTTTGCCAAGAAAACCCCAAATGGGGCCACAAAGAGTCAGACATGGCTGAAATGACAATGATTGAGCAGCAAATGTACCAGACACTGGACTGAGGAACACACAGAAAGGTGAAGGACAGCCTTTACTCTGAAGGAGCTCACAATATAATGGTGGGAGGTGATATACAAACAAGAGTTCAATCATTGTTCAGATGTGTCCAACTCTTTGTGACCCATCTGGGGTTTTCTTGGCAAAGATACTGAAGTGCTTTGGATTCACTGCCTTCCCCAGTTCATTTTACAGATGAGGAAACTGAGGCAAACCAGATGAAGTGACTTGCCCAGCGTCACATAGCTAGGAAGTGTCTGAGGCTGGATTTGAACTGGGATCTTCCTGACTTCAGAACCAACTTTATCCACTGTGCCACCTCGACGCCCTGTAAACAAGATATATACACGATAAACTAGGAGTAATCTCCTAGGGATGACATTAGCGTTATGGGGAACTGGGAAAGGTTTCTTACAGAAGGTGAGATTTTAGCTGAGACTTGAAGGAAGCCAGGGAAGCCAGGAGGTGGAGAAGAGGAGGGAGTGGATTCCAGGCATGGAGGACAGACACCTAGTGAAAAAAGGAAGGCAAAGGCCCCTGCCCTCAAGAAGCTCACATTCTAACGGGCAAGACAACATGAAAATAATTGTGTAGATCTAAGAGTATAAGTGGAAGGCAATCTGGGCTGGGGGGTGGCAGCTGGGGACCTGGGAAGACTGGTCACTACAGGGCAAACACCTAACTCTTCCGTCCCTGCCCTCCCCCGGTTAGCTCGGCTCCCCCAAGGCTTTGACCTGGATGTCCAGATGTTCCAGCTGTGACTTCTCCACTCCCCGGAGAGACCCTCTGAAGACCCTCCAGATCCAAAGAGAGGAGCAGAAATGAGAATTGGTCCCTGCCCAGTTCAGACAAGCAGAGGGTGGAAACCGGAAGAAAGGAATACCATCTGCCCCATCCTTGTACCTGCCCTGGCCTTTCTCTTCCTGCCGTTGGGTGAGTGACGCCGCATGCCCCTACTTGTCAGTGTGAGACCCAGTTATGGCAAATACTGGATCACAGATGTTTTACAAGTAGAGCACAAGGATCTCTAAGCTGGCTGGGGGTTGAATATATGTGTGTGTGTATACATATATATACACACACATAGAAATATGTATCTATACATACACACATACAGACATGTATATTTATACACACATGTCAATATATCTATACATATACATACATATATATGTGTGTATATATCTATATCTATATAAATCAGGGGTTCTTTGCTAGCACAGTAGACAGAGTGCCAGACCTGAAATCAGGAAGACTCATCTTTGTGAGTTCAAATCTGGCCTCAAGACACTAACTAACTGTCTTTATACCATGAGGCATCCTGTTATTTGCATAGCTTTGGTTGTTCAGACGGCCTTCTCTATATTGACCTGGAATTTGTCTATGACTATCACAGATCTAACACTGGAAGGGTCCAGAGAGATCATCTACTTCAACTCCTCCGTTTTACAGAGGAAGAAATTGAGGCTCATCACAATAGCCAACACTGACATAGCATTTTAAAAATATTATCTTATTATCTTCACAACAGCCTTGGGAGGTAGAGACTATTATTATCCCCATTTTACAGATGAGGAAACTGAGGCAAAGAGACATGTCTAGGGTCACATAGCTAGCGAGTACCTGAAGCAAGATTTGAACCCGCTGTCCTGACTCCAGGTCCAGCGATCTAGCCAACATCACACAGGTAGTCAGCATCGAAATCCTGTGACTCACAGGCAACGTTCTTTCCTTTGTACCGTCTTGTCTCCTGACCATACTGTGTCCATTGCTCCCGGTTCTGTCTGGGACCAAGCGCAAGTCATCCCCCCCCCCACATGCTTTTGTTGTTCTGTTGTGTTTGACTCTCCGTGAGCCCATTTCTTGAGCAAAGGTACCAGAGTAGTTTGCCATTTCATTCTCCAGCCCAATTTACAGATGAGGAAACTGAGGCAAACAGGGTGAAGTGACTTGCCCAGGGTCACACAGCTAGTAAGTGTCTGAGTCTGGATTTGAACTCAGGAAGAGGAGTCCAGCCTCTATCCACTGTAGCACCACTTAGTTGCCCCTACATGACAGCCCTTCAAACTCCAGAAGAAAAGTCTCATACCCTTCTACATTCTTCTGGTGAGTGGGTGGGGAGTAGGGCTCAAAAATGGTACATGGATATGTAAATACAAGATCATATGAGTGGGCAGAGTGGAGGGTTGGAGGGATCAGGGAAGACTTAGAATCATTGAAAATAGCTTTCAAGCTAGAAGAGACTTACAAATCATCCATTCCAACCCAATTTTACATTTTTTAACATTCATTTACATCCATTCCAATTTTACAAATAACGAAACAAGTTGAGAGAGATTAAGTGAGAGAGAGGCAGAGTGTCAGAGTGGATAGTGTGTGCTGGCCTGTTCTGACACTTAGCAGCTGTGTGATGTGGGCCTCAGTCTCCTCATCTGTAAATGGGAATGATAGTAGCTATACTGAGGCAGCTGCTGCACAGTGAATGACCAGCTGGTCTCTGAGCCCAGGGAGACCTAATCACAGAATGGGTGCTGCCTTAGTCAAACTGAGACCTGCTAAAGACCTTAGCTTAAAAAGGCCAAGGTCTCCCACTGCATCCGGGGCCATCTCCGGTCATCCTGATCCATATCTGGTCACTGGACCCAGATGGCTCCAGAGGAGAGAGTGAGGCTAGTGACTGCACAGCCCTGCCTCACTTAAATCCATTTCATTTGCATGTCATGGCATCACCTCCCTGAGGTCATGGTCCTCTTCGAGAATGAGGGACAAATGGCAACCTGGATTCAAATCCCGTTGCCTCTGCGACTCTGGCCAAGTCCCTTAAGCTTTGACAGTGCCCGTTCAATTCTCTAAGACTATAATTTGCAGAGCACTTGCTGCTTTTGCCTTGATCAAGTGAATTTCTTCGTGCCAATGAAATCATTGGTCATCTAAAAATTAAAAAAAACAACTGTGGTGCCAACTTCCCCATCTTGTTCTGGTGCAAAGTGGTTGGAGAACTTTGAAACTTGGCAGTTACTGAAATCAGTGGCAGCTTTGGGACCCAGGACCTCCCTCTTCCCAGTGCCCCGGACCCTCTCTTTGGCTGAAGAGGGCTCAGGCTTAGAGATAACAGACTGACTCTCCCATGTCCGATGCAAGGAATAAGGGCTTTTTCTGCCAGAGAAAGGCAGGAGGAGGGTGAAATCTCCTCCTGCTTTGTTCCTCCATCCCAAAACGGTGTTTTTTGTTTGTTTGTTTGTTTGTTAACATCACCTACACTTCCCAGCATATCCCCCTTTTCCTCCCTCTCTCTAGAGCCATCCCTTATAACATAGACAAAAGTTGAATAAGGGGGAAAACACAATTCAGCAGAACTAACCAGCACATAACCAAGTCCATGGCGACATAGAGCATTTCAAGCCCAGAGGCCCCAGAGCTCCAAAGAGGGGAGGGAGGGGACTTTCACAAGTCTTGTTTTAAATGAGGCCTCTCTGCTAGCTCCACAGACCGTCGCCTTCTGTGAAATGGAGGGGGAGGAGATATTTCCCAGGCATTCTTTGGGGAAAGGATAGGTTAGTCCTGGGGAAGGGCCCTCCTTCTGGAGGGCTGGAAGAGGTCTCCCACAACCAATCTCTCCCAGCAGGGCTCAGGCCCCTGCTGCTCCTTCGACATCCCTTCCATCCTATCATCCTAGGGAGCTAAAGAAGCAGGGATAGAAGAAAATCTTCCTCTCTGCTCCCCGACCTCCCCACTTTGCATCCTTGAGAATGAAACCTGCAGCTACGGGTCTCTACCACAAGAGGGAGCGTTGGCTCCACAAACCACCAAGATCTGTCTCACTGCCGCAGCTTTAGAAACAAAGGGTTGTTTGGGCTGTGGCCAGCCCCTAGTGGTCCTGGGAAGGTGTGGTGTAATACGATTAAGAAAAATAAAATTAAAATTGAAAAAGAGAGAAGAAAAAAAAAGAGGAAGGGGGATGCGTCTACTCAACCTAAGTACTAGTTTGAAGGTCCTTGTTGAATATCTTTTTTATGCTATAATTAAGTAAACCTGCTTTCTTTAACAGGAAGGAAGGAGGGAAGAAGGGAGGGAAGAAGAGAGTGAAGGAAGGAGGGAGGGAGGGAAAGAGGGAGAGAAGGAAGGAAGGAAGCAAGGAAGGAGGGAAGGAAGATGGGAGGGAAGGAGGGAGGGAGGGAGAGAGTTGGGGTCCTCCAGCTGGGTTAAGCATTGAAAGAGAAGGTATATGAACCAGAAAGAGGTCAAGGAAGAAGAGATTCCCTCCCCTCTCCCCTGGCAGCATAGGATTTACAATAGGAAGACAGCCTTGTGGGGGTGGGGGTGGGGGTGGGGTGGAAAGGAGGTGATTGGATGATCCGGGAACGTTGAAAATCATCACATAACTAAGTTAGAACCGGGGGAGACCTTCAGAGGCCATCTATCCCATCCTTTCATTTTACCTAGGTAACCTTGGGCAAGTCACTCCCTGGGCCTCAGTTTCCTCATTTGTAAAATAAAAGGGTTGAATTGGTTGACCTCTGAGGTCCTTTCCAGTCCTATAGCTGTAATCCTGTGAATATTTGAAAGTGTGACAAAAGATTTCTCCTGAGTTCTCAACGAATGTATGAGAAGCATTTTGAAGTCACCAATAGAAGGATGAGGTCATAGGACCCAGGAAGGTGCCCTATCTACTTCCTTTGCCTCAAAACATCTCACTTAATGCAGTGGAAAGAGCACCTGATTTCAGGTCAGAAGACCTGGGTTCATATCCTGACCCTGTCACTTATTACCTGTGTGACTGGGCAGTTTTCTGATCTCAGTTTTCTGATCTATAAAATGGGATTGATTTAGATGACTTCCAAGGCTCCATTTTGCTCTAAATCTATGATTTTATAACCTAAGTTTGACTCCTGCCTCTGTTTCTTACTAGCTGTGTGACCTTAGGTAAATAACTTTCCCTCTCTGGGCCTCAATTTCCTCATCTTTAAAATGAGAGTTTTGGACTAGCTCTGTATCTTATAATCTTCTGGTCCTAAGTCCCTTCCTCTTTCTGGGCATCAGTTTCCCCACCAGGAAAAAGAGGGGATGGATGAGGGGGTCTCTGAGATCCTTCCACTTCTGGGCAGGAAGGATTCCTTTGCAATAAACATTGCCTTTTTGGGTTCATCTTTTAAAGACCATGCTCCCTTCTTCTTGCCCCCTTTCCCCTCCTTGCCCCCCACCCTCAGGGAGCACACATTGGATCCCCAATCCCTCATTGTGAAAGTGTCAGTCACTTTCCTCCCAGACTTGGGAATGGTGAAGGGGGAGAAGACCTGGGTTTGAATGTCAGCTTTGCAGCTGAGAAGATGTATGACCTTGAGTAAGTCTTTTCCCTTCCTGGCTCAGTTTCTTCCTCTGTAAAATAAGGTTTTTGGACTAGGTAACCAAAGAGCCTCCTGATTCTAAATCTTGTGCTCCTAGGACTTTAGACACTGGTGAAAAGAGGGGAGAGAAGAGGAAGGTATTGTTGGATGGAACTGAAGGAGAGGAGGGGCACGGTGGTTCACATCTTCTGACCTAGTACCAGAATTCGGGCAATTATGGAGCCAGGCGTTGGCAAACTCCCACCTTTGGGCCAAGCCAGCCCTCAGTCAGTAGTTCCCAGGCCATGCAAAGTCAGGCACACCCCCTGAGAGGATCGTGGAATGCTAGCTCTGGAAAGAGACATGGATAAAGGTCATCTAGTCAAATGCCCTTCACTTTAGACGTGAGAAAATGGAAGCCATTCAACTAGGATGGTGGAAAAAGTCCTGGCCAGGCAGTCCTGAGCTTTAGGTACTAAGACCCTGCTCCAGTCTTAACTCACGGTGTGACCTTGAGTGAGTCCTTTCTTTTCTTTGGGCCTCAGTTTTCTGTAAAGTCGGGTAATTGGATTGGATGATTTCTAAAATCACTTCTGGCTCTGATTCCCACCACTGCCTTCCCCCTCCCTGGGCACAGTGACCTTTCCCTCCTCTGAATCCCTTGCCTTCAAGACGCTTGTATTATGATAGGGAAGACAGTACACAAAGGGGTGCTGGAAAAGAGAGGGGTGTGTGGAGATGGCCTGGAAATGAGCTGGAGGTTTGGATGGGGCAGGAGAAAACCCAGGAGTCCAGAGCGATTCTGGGGCAGAGTTCAAGTTTCCAATGAGGAAGAGGCGGAGATGAAGACTAGAGTGAAAGTCTTAAGATACGAATTTTCAATGAACATAATTATGTAGCTCAATCATAAACTAGGTAGAACCTCAGTGCGACCAGGGATTCTTGAGATAACTTTGTCTTTTGGGAGAACAAGAATCAAAGGTATACAGAGTAATGATAAGAGCTGGAGGTACAAAAACAAGATTGACCTAGCCCTTGTCCTCAGAGAGCTTACATTCTAACTGACAGCTTCACAAATAATAGTAATATAAAGCGAAGGCAAGAAAGAGATCCAGTCCCAGAACTTTAGGAAAAGTTGAGGAAATGCTTTCAGCTTGTGGTTAAGCAGAGAAGTCTACGTGAAGAAGGTGTTCAATTCCAAAATCAAGTTTATTCATTCAGCAAATTATTTCTTGACTTCCTCACCCCAAGCCCTCATCCACAGCTGCCAAAGAGCCAAAGTACAGGTCTGGTCATGCCAGGCCCCACCTACTTAATAAACTCCAATAACTCCCTCTACCTCAGCCTCAGATATAAGCTCCTCCGTGTGGTATTTAAAACCCTGTACAGCCCCGCCCCATCCTGCTTTTCCAGCCTTATCCCACTTTCCTCCTTTTCTAAAGTTCTATGATCCCAGACAAATTGGCCATTCCGTCACCCACATCTTTGTGTTTGCACTAGCTGTCCCCCATGCCTGGAATGCTCTTCCTCCTCACCTTTGCCTCTTGGGATCTCTGGTTTCCCTCAAGATCCAATTTAAAGACCTTTCTCTCCATGACCCCTTTCCTGGTCCCCCAGCTCCCCTCAGGGTTGTTGTTGTTCAGTTACTTCAGTCGTGTCTGACTCTCCATGACCCCTTTTTGGGTTTACTTGGCAAAGACACTGGAGTGGTATGCCAATTTTCTTTCCAGATAATTTGACAAACGAGGAAACTGAGGCAAACAGGGTGAAGTGACTTGCCCAGGGTCACACAGCTAATAAGTATCCGAGGCTAGATTTGAACTCAGGTCTTCCTGACTCCAGGCCTCATGCTCTATCCACTGCGCCACCTTTTTTTTTTGTAAGTGGCTAGATCCTTCCTCTTTACTGGAGGATTGTAAGCTCCTCAATGACAAGACTTTTTCATTTCCATCTTTGTATCACCAGAGCCTAGCTCAGAACTCGATACATGGTAGCTGCTTAAGAAGTGTGTGATGTTTGACTGATTGGCAGGGCAATTGTCTTTGGTCCTGTAGGAGATATAAAGATGACTGAAGCAATCTCTGGCTTGAAGAAGGACATAGCCTAGGATGGGATATGTACAAGTGCTGCTCTGAAGCAGAATGGGGCCAGTGTCTTGAGGGGTACAGCCAAAGGATGTGGAGAATTCAGAGGGAGAACTCACTTCTCTGGGGAAAGGGAGAAATCAGAGAAAACTTCACGCAGGAGGTATCTCAAAACTGGCTTTTGAAGGTTTGGGAGACAATGATTTGGGGAAGCCAGAAAGGGAAGGGAGTAGGAAAGCAGTCCATTAGAACAAAGGGTATAATGTGTTTAAGGAGCCTTGAGTATGTTCGTCAGTTTAGAGTACTGGGAAAATAGTGGAAGACTAGACAGGTAAGTTAAAGGCAGATTCTGGAGAACCTTGTAGGCTAAGAAGGTTAAACCTTATTAAGTAGAAAGTGGGGAGCCATTGAAAGTCTCAGAGTAAGGGAATGGCATGATCGGATTAGTGCTTTAGGAAAATTGTGCTAATGATTGTGTGACCTGTGCATTAGAGAGGGAAAGATTGGAGGTGGGGAAGCCAGTTAGGAGGTTGTTGCAATAATCCAGGCATGATTTGTTGATGCCTTGAGTTTATATGGTTGCAGTGGGAATGGAAAGGAGATATATGTAAAAGGCAATGAGTTAACTATACACTCAGGGAGCAGTGATGCTCCTTGGGTACTTTCCCCAGCTGGGCAGACCCATCTGATCTTCTTCTCCATTCTGTTTCAGGCAGCACCCTACAGCCTACTCCATTACCCTTTCCAGGTAGGACCTTCTGTGGGGTGGGGTGGGGTAATGGGCTTCCCTTCTAGATAAGCCATAGGCCTCCCTTCTCCCACTCTAAACTGGAGGGTCCTTCACCTCGGCACCCCCACCCCAGAATCTTAAATAAAGAAGCTATGCCCACCCCCATTTTACAGATGAGGTAAACTGAGACCATAGAGAGGGAAGGCTCACAGTGATTGAATCAATGGCAGAGCCCCACTAAATGAGTTTGTCCCTCTTCATTCTCCCTTTTGTCTCAAATATAGAAAGCCTGATGGGTGGGGCCATGCTAAGGGTATGGTTAGCTTTCTAACGACCATGGACTAAATGGGGTGGAGGACCAAACATATGGATAGGGGTGGGAAACACGAATTTAAAATGTCCCTGATGGAGAGGGGGGATGGGTTGGGTAAGGAGGTTCAGGAATCCCATACTTTGGGGATCTGGGTGCCTCCTACCCTTGGCCTGCTCTGAGAATTGCCCTCTGCCCTACCCCGAAGTAAGCTCCCTCCCCTCCCCTGGCCCTCCTCTGCCCCCAGAGGTGAGGCTGGTGGGGGGGCCCAGCCGCTGCCAGGGCCGGCTGGAGATCCTGTACAGTGGTTCCTGGGGGACCGTGTGCGACGATGACTGGGACGTGATAGATGCCAATGTAGTCTGCCGCCAGCTGGGCTGCGGGTACGCCCTGCCCGTGCCCTTGCCCCTCGCCTTTGGCCAGGGCCGGGGCCCCATCCAACTGGACAACGTGGACTGCAAGGGACAGGAGGCGGCCCTGAGTGAGTGTGGCAGCCGTGGCTGGGGTGTCCATAACTGCTATCACTACGAGGATGTGGCTGTCATGTGTGACGGTGAGTGGGAGGGAGGAGCCACGAGAGGGCCTCAGAACCACGTGGTCCCTTCTCATCTAACTGGGGACTGGGGGGCTGGGAGCAGAGATGAGGAAGAGAAGAGAGTGGGGCATAGTGGGAAAATCCCTGAACTGGGAGCCAAGGCTCACCCACGTTCTCATCTTGGCTCTACCATTGCCTTGGGCAACTTTTCCAGGCCTCAGTTTCCCTAGCTGTATCATTATCAGCAAGGACATACTGAATGTCTATTCTATTCAAAGCATTTCACTAGAGACTAGAGATACCAAGAAGGTGCCTAAAGATTCCATCCTTGGCCTCAAATAGCTCACGATCTCTAATGTCCCATATCTAAAAATCTCAGATCAGATTCTTCTTGAAAATCCTTTAAGGAGGCTGATTCCTCACATTGGAAGAGGACTCTGCTCTCACAAGAACTGTGTGAGGGGGACAGGAATCGTTGCCTCCAGCTTATGCAGAGGAAAGTGAGGCTCAGAAGAAACAAAAACAAAAGTGATTTGCCCATGGTCCCATAGTCAGTTACTGGCAAGACTGGAATTTGAACTCATGTCTCCAAATTTCCAATTGAGAACTCCGAAGACAACCTGGAAAATGTGGGGTGTTGCCTTGCCTGAGGGCAGGGGATGGAATAAAGGGTTAATGAAGGGGTTCCTTCCCACTCTGGGAGTCTATGGTTCTCTGGGCAATGAACTGCCTTTCCCCCATTTCCTCCTGTTGCTCAAGAATTCTCCCCTCTGTTCAGAGTGTTTGCAGGGTAAAATGTCATCAGCATTTGCTAGCTCCCCTGAGTGATCTTAGTCTTAGAAAATTTCCAGGGCCACCTGGGGCCAAAACATCTCTGTGCATGTATGTCTCTCTGTGTATCTCTGTTTCTGTGTTGGGCTCTCTAACTGTCTCTCCCCGTGTCTCCTCCTATTTCTGTCTCTGTGTCTGGATCTGCCTCTTTGTTTTGTCTCTGTCACCCTCTCCAACTTTCTTTTTCTCTCTGTTTCTTTCTGTCTCTGTCTTTCCTACACATGCGTGCACACACACACACACACACACACACACACACACTCTCTCTCTCACCTTGTGTTTGTGATCACATGGCCCTAGAGAATCTATGAGACAGTCCTTTTGGGTTTTCAGAACCTGCGTCCCCCTTCCCGTGGTCAATGACTGCCCCATCTGTCTCCTGCATTAAGATTCTGAGAAGCTAATATTTCCCATCCAGAGTTCTTTGGGGCAGGTAAGACCCACAGGAATGGATAAAAGATTCCCCCAGGACTTAGCACAGCTGCTCAGCTATTCTCTTCTCACCTCAATGTTTTCCCTTCTCAGAGCTCTTACCAACGCTGGCCAGGAAAGTGTTAACAAGCAGAGCCCCCACCACCATCACCCCAAAGAATGGGATAGGTAGGTGGCTGGGGAAGATTCTCCTAGTTCCTAGCCTCCAGAGTTGGTTTCATTTATTTATTCAGCCAATAAACATTCATTAAGTGCGTAATATGTGCCAGGCACTTTGCTGAAAAGAAAATAAGCGTTGCCCTCAAGAAGCATAACTCTACTGGGAGATGTGACAATTCCACAAATAAGACCTTGGCAAGTCACTGTGCCTCTGTGGGCCTCACGTTTGCCACCTATAAAATAAAGGCGTTGGACCAGATGGTCCTGGGCACTCTCTTCCCCTCTAGAGCCATGACCTTAAGTAAATACAAAGAATTTCTATTTATTAATAGTAAACATGAAGTAACTTTAGCAAAGAGAACTAACAACTGGGGACATTTGGAAATGCCTAGCATGGGAGGCGAGCATCTGATTTGAGCCAGTCCCCTGTTTAGGGAATCAGATGATTCTGAGACATGGAGATGAGGGGGAGTTCATTTAAGGTGTGAGGGCCAGTCAGTGCAAAGACATGGAAGGGAGATGGAGTGTTTTGTACGGGGAACTGCAAGAAAGCCAATTTGTCTGGAATACAGAATTCTAGAAGGGGAATAATGAGTAATAAGCCTGGAAATGATGTGATCAGAATGATGTTTTAGGAAAGGTAATCTTTATTGGGCAGACCTTTCGGCCACGCCCTGCCTACTTGGCTGGGACAGGAGAGGGTCTCAGGAAGTTATGAATGGGAAGAGACCACTGGACACCGCATAGGCATTGTGGTATATTGTGGACTGTCAGGACAATGCAAGAAGCATGTTTGTGGGTTGTAAGGTATGTGGCATTATGGGTATAATTCTTTCCTATCCCTTGACCATTCCCAGGTGACGGCAGCATCCGCCTGGTGAGAGGTGCCAACTCCTGTCAAGGCCGAGTGGAGATCCTGCATGGTGGTACATGGGGCACTGTGTGTGACGATGACTGGGGGCTCCCAGATGCCACTGTGGTCTGCCGCCAACTGGACTGCGGCAGCGCTGTGGCTTCTAAGACCAATGCCTACTTTGGCTATGGCACCGGCCACATCTTGCTAGACAATGTGCACTGCGATGGCCAAGAGCTACGCCTGGCAGCGTGTCCCAGCCTGGGGTGGGGGATCCACAACTGTGGGCACCATGAGGACGCTGGCGTCATCTGCTCAGGTACCGGGAGAGGAGCACCAATCAGCAACAAGCATTTCTTAAGCTCCTCCTACATCCTAATTGTGCCCAGCCCTCCGCAATGTATTCTAGAGGAAAGAGGCCTGAGCTAGCAAGTAAGAGACCTGGCTCGCAGCGTCGGCTCTGATCCGACTTCTCTCTGGGTCTCAGGAATAGTGATGCCTGCCATAGTGTGATGGATAGGATACTGGTTTTAGAGTCAGGAAGACCTGACTCTTGGGTTCAAATGTCACCTCAGACACTTACTAGCTATGTGACTCTGGGTGAGTCACTTAAACTCACTGTGCCTCAGTTTGCTCATCTGTAAAGTAAGAGCATTGGACTTGTTGGACCCTAAGGTCCTTTCCTTCCAGCTCTAACTGTAGGATCCTTTGATCCTGCCTCCCCATCAGGGCTATGAGAATCAACTGAGATCACAGAATTACAAATGTCCAAGATGCTCCAGGGCTTAGGAACAATCCAGTCCAAAGCCTTCATTCTGCAGATCAGGATGATGGGGTCCAGAGAAGTTAAGTTACTTGTCTAAAGGCACACAGCTAAGAAGTGGCAAAGCTGGGATTTTCTAGTCTTCTTTACACCACACTGGGAAAACCCCTTGTAAATCATAAAGCACTATGTGGACGTAAAAGATTGTACAAAATCATCGCGACAATCATGTTTGTGATTGTCTTGCTTTCATACCAGGCTACTCCACCTCAAGCCCCAGTGCCATCCCTGCCCCTTGAACCTCTGGCGCTGAGCCTTTTCCTAAGGTCACACTGAAAGTCCATTAAGCTCGCTTTTGCTGGGCTTTCAGCATTTGGAGATGTGATCTGGTCCTCACCCACTTTCACTGCTAGCCAGGTCCTACTTCTTCCTAGGGTGCTGCTCATTTTTCCATTCTTCTTTTCATTTGCCTTTTCTCTTTCTTTTTTTCATTCCTCCTTCTTTCTCTCCTTCTTATTCCCCCTCCCCCAGTCCAAACTCACCCATTCTTTGAGCTGTGCCAACCCTAACCCCCGAGGGCTCTGCCAAGGGGGCAGCCAGATTTCTCCCATAAACTACCTACCCTCAGGCCTGTGTGCTGGCATTTCAATAGAGAAGGGTTATAAGTACCACCTCCACCAGGTTAGCTGAACTTCCTCTGTCAGGGACCATGATTTTATTATCATAGGAGCTTTCAGAAGTTAATGCCTTACCCCAGAGGAGTAAAAAACTAACAGATGTTTGGAGGCCCTGGGGCAGACTGGCAGTAAGAATCCCTTTCAGCAGGTTTTGGTTGGGGAAGAGTGGTTTCCGAATCCTCTGGTCCTTGGAAGCAACGGCTACCTGCTTAGTCAAGGACTAGCCCTATACCCTCTCTACCTAATGGAGAGAAGGGAAGAAACTGACCCAGGACAACTAGCTGCAGAGCATCCCTGAAGTGTGTGTGGGTACTGTGGGCACTGGCTCTGTGTGGAAAGGAAGTGGCTCTGAATGCCTGTGATTTTGCCTCTGGGAAGGAGCTGATGTGTGCCTGCCTATCTCCTCCCTCCCCAGGCACATTCTGCATTTCTGCCAGATATGCTGATTCCTGTCTCTAATGTTAATCATCCCCTGGCATCCCTTATTAGCCAGCTGGGCACCGTCTATTTCTGGGGCTCTGCCAATGAGGGGAGGCATTGAGTTTCTTCTCTTTCCTCTTTCCATGTTCTACTCCCCTGGACACGGATATATATATATACACACATATACAAGAGCTGATGGGGGGTGTATAAGGCAAGCAGGCTCTATTAGGCTACTCTCGGGAGGGTTGAATTTGACCCTAAGGGTGAGTTGTAGCTGAAATATTGCTCCCTAAAGTTCCCCAGTAATAATTCATGCCACTAAGCTAGTGACACAAATCTACTGCAAAAGGTCCCCAGGATTATCCAGGAAAGAGATGGGATAATGGTTAGAGAGCTGACCTCAGAGTGAGGAAGATCTCTGCCTTACATGCACTGGCTGTGTGACCCTGGCCAAGTCATAGGCTCCTAGACCTAAAGTTAGAAGGTACCCTGGAGGTCACCTAGTCCAACCTTTTTATTTTACGGAGGAGGAAACTGAGGCTCAGAGAGTCAAAGTAACTTTCCCAAGGTCACACAGGTACAAAATATCAAAGTTAGGATTTGAACCCAGGTCCTCTGACTGTCCAGCTGGGGCTACTTCCAGTGAATTATTCTGCTCTGAGCTCCTTACCCTTTCAGTGCCCTAAGCAACTCCTTAAGATTGTAAATGGCAGGAAAGGTGTGGATCTGTATTGGTAGGGGGAGTTTCACCATTGGGAGGCTCATACATGGATAAAGTCACTGGCCTGGGCGAGCATGCCTCTTAACTGCTCACTGGTCCTTGAAGGATCTCAGACCTCATTTTCACCTGTTCTTTTTATAGGACGCAGTGTCCCCACTATTATGTCCTCACCATCCCTGGTCACCCATGATGGCAAGGTCAGGCCCACTGAACCAGCCACAGGTAAGGGGGAAGAAGACAGCCTCCCAAACCCTCTGTGCTGGACAGCTCCGGGGCAGTTCCTGGGTGAGCAGATCCCCAAGTTGCCAGTCCTCTGGGCAGGGGCATCCATAGCTTAGTGGTCACTTGGGTGATATCGGTGTGTGTGTATGTGAGGGGTGGATGTCAGAATTAAGGGAAAGCTTGATTACTTGGGGGAGGATATGATTAACTTCTCCCCAAACCTAAGGAGTTCATCATTTAGTTGGTCAGGCAATGGCATATACATAGAAAGAGAGCTAGTCATACAGCACAGGTTCTGATAAGTCCCCATCCCTAAAGGAATTCAGTTAAGAAGGGGGGAGGAGGAGTAAGATCAAAGATCATTTAGGCTGCCATGGTCAGTGAAGGGGTTCAGGGTAGGTAGGATCCAGACAGGAGAAAGAGGGTACCACTCCAGGAGGCAGAAACAGCTAGAGCCCTGAAACTTGAAGGTAGAATTCTTCATGGGGATAGAAGGGAAACTGAGGAAAGAGGAGAACTGGGAAGCATCAAGAAAACAATTGTAAAATGAAGGGGTCTGATTAGATGGAGGAGAGTGGTAGGACACAAGGCTGGAAAGGTAAACAGGGCTAGGCTACAGGAAACTCCAAATACTGCCAGGGTGTGAAACGGACTGAGATTTTTGTGGATGCCTGCCCATCCATGGCAATATGCCACAGTTACCTGCAGAAGAGTTTTTCTTTTTGTTTTGGAGGCAACTGGGGTCAAGTGACTTTTTTAGGGTCACATAGCCAGTAAGTGTCTGAGGCCGCATTTGAACTCAGATCCTCCTGATTCCAGGGCCAGCATTCTATTCACTGAGCCATCTAACTGCCCCTAAAAAGAACTTTTTAAATGGTCCCTAACCCTGGAGGGGGGGCCAGGAGCACCTATTTCATAGGATTAGTGTGGGGATGAAGTGAAATAATCTCCCATTATTGGGATAATTAACCCATCATCCCAATGGGATAACCATAAAGGGCTGTATAAATGTGAGCTAGCCTTACTAAATTATAATAATTATAACTGTAACAGGATTGGAGCAAGGATATGGGACTAAGATTAGAGTTTGCATTTAGTTAAATTGGAACCCACCTTGGGATGGGATTAGAATCTGGGGTTAAAATTAGGATTTCATGTGGGCTTGGAATAGGATGTAGAGGAGGGTTGGGAGCACAGAGAGGGGGTCTGAGGGCTGGCTTGGGACAACATCAAAGGGGGGGTTAGATTAGAGTGTGACGTTGGGGTCAAGATAGGCATTAGAATGAGGTCGGATTTGAGGGTGGGATTAGGGTTGGTTTAAAATAATAATAATTTCAACCACAGAAACAATGATTTTATCCACCTGTACAATATTCTATAGAACACTGAGTATAAAAGAATAATAGATGGTGACTTGTCCCAGGACCATTTCTATGTGATGGTGATGATGATGACTATGATGACGATGATGATGATGGTGATGAGGATGATGATGATGATGATGGTGATGATGATGATGATGACGATGATGATGATAATGATGATAATGATGATGGTGATGACAGTGATGATCATGGTGATAATGGTGATGATGGTAATGATGATGATGATGGTGATGATAGTGATGGTGATGATGATGATGATGGTGATGATAGTGATGGTGATGATGATGATGGTGATGGTGATGATGATGATGATGGTGGTGGTGATAGTGATGGTGATGATGATGATGGTGATGGTGATAATGATGATGATGGTGATGACAGTGATGATCATGGTGATAATGGTGATGATGGTAATGATGATGATGATGGTGATGATAGTGATGGTGATGATGATGATGATGATGATGATGATGATGATGGTGATGATGATGATGATCGTGATGATGATGATGGTGATGATGATGATGATGATCGTGATGATGATGATGGTGATGACGGTGATGATGGTGGTGATAATGGTGATGATGGTAATGATGATGATGATGGTGATGGTGATGATGATGATGATGGTGATGAGGATGATGATGATGATGGTGATGGTGATGATGATGATGGTGATGATGATGATGACAATGGTGATGATGATGATGATGATGGTGATGATGATGATGATGATGACGATGATGATAATGATGATAATGATGATGGTGATGACGATGATCATGATGATGATGATGATGGTGATGATAGTGATGTTGATGATGATGATGGTGATGGTGATGATGATTATGATGGTGATGATGATGATGATGATGACAATGGTGATGATGATGATGACGATGATGGTGATGATGATGATGATGATGAGGATGATGATAATGATGGTGGTGATGATGATGGTGATGGTGATGATGATGATGATGGTGATGATGATGATGATGATGATGGCTAACATTTATATAGTGCTTACTGCATGCCAGGCACTGTGCTAAATGCTTTACAAATATTATCTCATTGGATCCTCACAACAACCCTGGGAGATAGGCGCTGTTATTATCCCCACTTTAAAGATGAGGAAACTGAGGCAAGCAGGAGATAAGTGACTTGCCCTGGGTCACGCAGCTAGTAAGTGTCTGAGGTCAGATTTGAACTCAAGTCTTCCTAACTCCGGGCCCAGCTTTCTCTCCACTTCATCACCTATCTGCCCATACTTTTATTTGGGATGTAGAATTTCAGAGAACTTACTTGGGATCTCTCCCTGGCTTGGTCCCTATGGGGCCAGAGTTTCAGGATGAGATCCCAGACTCAAGGAGACAAAGCAGGACGTAAATGGATCATGGATTTAGAGTTAGAAGGCATTTCAGAGACTGGTCCAACCCTCTGGTTTTACAGATCAGGAAACTATAAGGTTAAATGCTTTATCCCAGGTCACATGGGTGATAGGTGAAATTGAACTCAGGACCTCAGACTCCAGAGCTGGAACCCTTTCCACTACCATGACTGCCTCTGGATACTAATGGTAATTACCAATAGGGCAGCTAGGCATGGTAGTGGATAGAGCCCTGGTTGTGGAGTCAGGAACATGTGAGTTTGCCTCCTTCCTTACTAGCTGGGTGAAGCTGGGGGACAAGGTTAAGGGGAAGAGTCGGGTCGGGAGGTAAAGATGGGGTTGGATGAGGGTAGAGGGCTAGGGGCCTAGACTTTACCAGAGATTGTTTTCAGGGCTCTCGGTTGGCAGTTCTGTCCTTCAGACCCTTCCCCTCACTTGGTCCTCATCCTATACCCATGATCATGATTAGCCCCTGGCAGGAATCCAAGGGGCCTCTTGCTTCCAGAACCTTCTCAGGCCTGTTGTCTTCTCAGTAACAGAAGCCGCTGTGGAGCCCACTAGGGAAACCACCATCCTTACCATGGCCCCAGGAAAGAAAAGTAAGTAGACTGTCCAGGGCTGGATGAAAGCCAGGGAGGGGGCAGTTCTGACATGGAGGACTTAACTTAGGAATCTTTTGCCCTAGGCTTGGAAATCCTTAGAAGCCAAGCCTTAGAGGGGAAGACTTGGGGTATACAGGAGTCTGTGTCTCCTCCAGCCCTGTCCTACCCCTGAACCCTAGGTGGCCGTCTCCGCCTGGTCAGTGGGAGTGGCCCCTGCCAGGGCCGTGTGGAGGTTCTCCACGAAAGCCGCTGGGGCACAGTGTGTGATGACGACTGGGACTTTGCCGATGCCCAGGTAGCGTGCCGGGAGGCGGGCTGCGGGCGAGCGGTGGGGGCCACTGTCCTGGCCTACTTCGGCTATGGGAAGGGCCCTGTCTTACTGGACAATGTGGACTGCGCGGGCGTGGAGACCCGCCTGGCAGACTGCTTCCACCTGGGCTGGGGCCAGCACAATTGTGGACACCATGAGGATGCTGGTGCCATCTGTAGGGGTGAGTGAGATAGGGTGGCCACTAAAGGGGGAAGGGAGGGTATGGGGAAGGGAGGCCCCCAGCCCTTGGGGGATGGGGGAGGAGAGAGCAGGGAGAGGAGGGAAGCCAAAGCCCAGGGCACTTGGGAGTAGAAAGGAGGAAACATGACGGAGGCCAACCCCAGGAGGAAAGCTTGCTCAGGCACCAAGTCTGGCTATTCCTTTGTAGCTGGCCTGGCTTACTGACCACACCAGCATTTATTCTCTCTTCTCCTGTCCCTCCCTTCAGTGCCTAGAATTCAGCTTCCTCTATCCCCATCTCATTTTAAAATTCTCCCCTTGTTTAATCGATACCTAATCACAGTCAGCCTCCTGTTCAATACCCTCAGGGCCCTGTTCTCTCCTTCCCCCTTTCACTTAACCCATAACCAAAGTGTGTGGTATCCACTCAAACCTATGATATAATGGAAGGGAGTTGGAGCCTAGGCCGAGAGCTGAAAGGGATCTCAGGGGCCAGCTAGGCCTACCCCCGCCTTTGACAGATGGGGAAACTGAGGCCCAGGGTGCAGTGACATACCCCAATTCATACCAGTTCTAAGTATCAGTGGTGACATTTGAACCCAGCACTGTCTCCGAAGTCAGGAGACCTGTACTTGATTTCTACCTCCTCTAAGTGCTACTTGTGTGATTCTAGACAAGTCACCTCCCCATCTCTGGACCTTAGTCTCTTTATCCATCCAAAGGGGTGTGGCCCCAATGGCTCTAGATCCCCTGACTCCATCTACTGTCGGCGTGGCCCCTGTGGCCCAGCCCTTCACTTAGGATGTGGGAAAGCCCCTCAAAGCTGGGGCCCTCTTCGGGGCTCAGTTCCCACAGACCCAGGACTAAGAGACATTCCCCCAGGGATAGGGGCTCACAGGGAGGAAGGAGAGAGGCAACTCCTACGTTTTCATCAAGAAGAAGAATTTTAAGGACTCCTTATCAGGAGAAATGGTGGCCTTGGGAAAAGATCCCACCCTTGTGGCTACAGTGGGTTGCCCACATCAGAGAGGATTCCTCCCCTGGAATCAGAATTAGAGACAGCAGGGCATGCAGCACCAGGCCTGGAGTCAGAAAGATCTGATTTCAAATCCAGCCTCAGACACTTATTAGCCACATGCCCCTAGGCAAGTCACTCTTGGCTCCGTCTGCCTCAACTTCCTCAATGTAAAATGGGGACAATATTCTTAAAGCTGTCAGCACAGGGCTGGCACACAGTAGGTACTCTTTTTACAAACACTTATTCTCTTCCCTTCCCCAATCCCTGAATGCTGTTACTTCCTGTCCTGCTCTGACTGGCCCACGTTCCTCCCCCGGCCCCTTGGGTTTTCTCTCTTACAGAGCCAGGGGTAGAGGAGTCAGGACAACAGATCTGGCAGGATGTTCCCGAGACTACAACAAAGGTGGTAGCCAGCGTACCTCCCAAGGAAGGTAAGTGGCCTCCCTCTGCCTAGACTAGAGGGAGGTGTAATGAATAGCGCATTGGGCTGGGGGTCAGGAGTCTTGGATTCAAATCCTTCTTCAAATCCTGGACAGGCTCTGTTTCCTCATCTATAAAACGGGCTGGTCAGGCTTCTGCGGTCCCATCCAGCTCACAGCCTACAATTATCATGGAGTCCTAGACAAGGGGCCTGGAAAAGGGTATAGGCATGGAATGTAGATGATAGATGAAGCCTGAGGAGACAGCCGATCCCTCTCCTTGCCCCCAAGAGTCTGGGAGGGGAAATGCCCATGCTTATGCTGACCACAAGCTCAAGCTAAAAGTGGAACGTGGTCAGCAGAGAAGCGTGGGTAGTCTCAAGGATTCACTAACAGAAGCCCAGTGTTCAGAATGAGAACTAAAGAGTACCACTGTATCCAGGCCCGGTCAGGCTGCACTGGAATCTCACGTCTAGTTCTGACTGTCATATTTTAGGGAGGAGTTTTGTCATTCAGTCGTGTACAACTCTCTGTGACCCCATTTGGGGTTTTCTTGGCAGAGATACTGGAGTGGTTTGTCATTTCCTTCTCCAGCTCATTTGACAGATGAGGAAACTGAGGCAAACAGGGTGAAGTGATTTGCCCAAGGCCACCTGGCTAGGAATTGTCTGAGGCCAGATTTGAACTCTGGCCTGACTGCCCCCTTTAAGAAGGATGTTCATTATGTAATATGGGGATCTATTGAAAGAACCAAGGATATTTAGCCTGGAAAAGAAAAAGTTTAGTGGGCAACTTAGTGTTTGTCTTCAAAAGTTTGAGAGACTGTCATGTGGAAAAGGGATCAGGCTTCTTCTGTTTGCTCCTTAGAGGACAGAACTAGGGATGTTCTAGAATCAATCAATCAAAAGTACCAACAAGCCTTTCTTAAGCACCTACTATGTGCCAGGCACAGTGCTGAAGGCTGGCAGTGATGAATTCTTCAGGCGGGGGTTGAAATCAGCTGACTGTAAGGTTTCTTCTACCTCTAAGATTCTGATTTTCCTCTCTGTTAATTTACACTTGTTTATAGATTTTTCAAATACCTGTCATCTCTTTTCCACATATTTCCTCCATCATAGCTGAGGTTCCCTGAGGACATGAGACCAAGACCTTTCTAAGGGCAGGAAACGGGTCTCCTTGCATCAGGCCAAGGCCTGGTGGGCAGGGAAGATGTCTTGATTAATCCTGGGTGTGTCCCAAGTGACGGCGTCCTGGGGCTGGGTTCCTGGGATACAGACTGAGGGTGAAGGGTGGGGAGATATTTGTGCTTTGTTCCCATCCTCCCTTGAATGCCTCATTTTGTCTCTCTTCTTTCTCTTCCTCCTCCTCCTCTCCTTCCCCCTCTCATCCAGGCCATCTCCGCCTGGCAAACGGCAGTCACCGGTGTGAGGGTCGGGTGGAGCTATATCTCCTGCGTCAGTGGGGCACCATTTGTGATGATGCCTGGGACTTGCGGGCTGTGGGTGTGGTGTGCCGCCAGCTGGGCTGTGGGGAGGCCCTGGCGGCCCCTGGAGAGGCTCAGTATGGCCTAGGCCAGGGCCTCATTCTCCTGGACAACGTCAAATGTCGGGGCAATGAGGCCTCCCTGCTCCGATGCTCTCACATCCTATGGAATGCCCACAACTGTGAGCATGCTGAGGATGCTGGGGCCCAGTGCCAGCCACGGTGATCCCTCTCGTCCCTACCCTCTGGCTCCTCCCAGCAGCCCTCCATAACCTTGGGTGCAAGAACAAGGCTCCCCCAGCTTTGGGGAAGGGCCCTCACTGACACGGGGGTCGCTTCCTGTGGAGTGGAGACAGGGGCCTACACACATCCAGACAGTGCCAGCCAAGAAAAATAACCCCAAGTTGGAATTTTCATCCCTTCATCACACACTCATTTCACATCCCTGGGCCTCAGTTTCCCCCATCTGTATCATGGGGGAGGAAATATCCCCACCTTTGCCTAAATTATTTGAGCTACAGTGAACTCAAAGCCAAGATGCCTGCAAAAAATGAGAGGGACGTCTTGGATCATAGCAATGCTTCTCCCTCCCTGGGATCACTGGGGCTGGTGAAATGACCAGATTTCCCTCCTTCCCGGGTCTGAAAGACAAAGATCTTCAGGGATTCTGATCATCACTGGAGGAAGGAACTAGGGGAAGAATGAGTTCTGCAGAGGTGGGGGTGAGGGCTTCAGTGGGGCTTACAGCTTCAACTTGGACACCCTTAGGTGCATCATGGGGAAAGACGCTCCCCCTCCTAAGACCTCCCACCTCGGGACTATGCTTATCTCTCTCCAAGAAGGGACAGGCCAGACATACCCCTATCCCCAGCTCCTACCCGGGTCTTTCCTCTCCTCCCGACCCCAGCAAGGGCCCTCACAAATGGTGCTTGGAGCATGGTGGATGTGGATGACAGTGCCTTCATTTGTGGGACAAGGGTGTCAAAGACAGTGATCATGGCCGTATGGCGCTCTCTGTCCCTGCCTCAAAGATCCCCTCATCAGGTGCAGGGGTGGGAAATCCTCTTGTCCCCACGAGGAAGGGGAAACTCAGGAGTAGGGGGGTGATTTCTCTATCCCTTGGCACCCTTTCTTCCTACAGGGCACAACACCCACCTCCCCACTGGGCAAGCCAATAGTCAGGGGGCCCTGAGCCTCCATGCCAGGTAGGGAATCTGTAGCCACCAAGTTATAGTTGCCAAGTAAATAAAGGACTTTGTTCTCATTCTTTTAAGTGAAATCAGTATTTTATAATCAATGGGATATTCCTTGTAGTATCTGATTAAAAGCCAAAGAAAAGTTTCCTTTAAGTTAGTGGGGGCCTAAACAGTGTCAGAAAGGGGTGAGGGAAGGGTGCCCAAGAGCCGAAATCAGCAGAAGGGCTGCCTCAGGCGGGGTGAGGACACACCCACACCCACCCACCTCCACATACACATACACACACATACACACACACATGCACACCCACACATACACACAAACACATATACACACTTACACACATACACATATACCCACACAAAGCCACACCCACATACACACACACACACTCATTCACACACACACACATCACCCCCATTTGCCCATCTGGCCTTGGTACTTGGAGGCAAAAGGCTATATTAGATGCCTGTATTTTGGGGATTTCCAGGGATATGGCCCCTACCTCTCAGCGAATCAGGGAGCAAAGGACACACTGTCTACACCTTCTGTTGAGGAAAAATCTTGAAGGTTAGAGCAGACTCCACAGACAAGCGAAGCAGTGGGCTCCTCCAGATAACCTTTCGACTGCATCCTTTCCAGAGGTGAGGAACCTGTGGCCTCAGGGCCACGTGTGGCCCTCTAGGTCCTCAAGTGTGGTCTTTTGATTCTACTTTAACCTGCTGCCTCCCCCAGATACTGACCCCTTATCTTGCACTCTTTTCATCTTCTATTTTCTTCTCCTTTGTGTTGCTATTCTTATTCTAATCACCCCGATCCTGCCCACCCTCCATGGCTCAGTTTACATACCACCTCTGGCTGGAAGTTTTCCCTGACCACCCTAATCTTTTATACTACCCCCTGTCTATCTCTCCATCCTTGTGACTCTCAGGACTGATGGGAGGAGAGCCCTTTATGAAGTGTAAAGCAACATAAAGTCAGGAGTGACGGTTACTGCTCTGTGTGTCTTGTTTTGAAGATAAAATGAGGTGATGACTTTAAGACGCTTTGTCAGCCACAGAAGTATCAGATGCTGTTGTTATATTACTATGGTCATCGTTGGCTCTGAGCCTCCATCTCCGGACTGAGCTGCATCCTGCCCACTGACCTGCAGAAAGCATGGAGAAAATCCTCATTCACATTGTCAGAGCTTTTGGGCCCTCTCCCTTCACCAGGTCACACAGCTAATTTGGCCCAAGCTGCCACACAGGGGCAGAGTGTAAATCCAGGCTTCCCTGACTCCAAGTCACCTGGTACCTGGTATTCCTCTTTCTCTGGCCCTCAGGGAAGCCCTACTCATTCTGATAAGGTTGCAGAGACAGGTTTTCTCTGCTGGGGAACTCCCCACCTTGGGAGGCTATGGGGCCATCCACTCTTGCCTTTTCCCTCAACACACACACTCTCCCAGGCAAGTGTCCCAGGTCTTCTAGACAGAAGCAGACCTGTGCTCAGCTGGGCAGCTCTGAGGGCCTTCCCAAATCAGCCAACTGCAGATGTGCGACCCTAGGAAATCACTTAACCTCTCTGGGCCCCTGTTTCCTCCTCTGTGAAATTAAGAGGTTGGATTAGCATTAAAACTATGACCCTGAGCTCAGTACATCCATCCTCCCTCTCCCCTGCAACCTCTGCTCTCAGAAACACTGCCTGCCCAACCAGCTGGGTCAGCCCAGGTCAGCCTAGGCTAGCCCAGGCTAGCCCAGCCCACTTCCTACCCAGTTCTGGTTAGCCTAGCTTTGCTCAGCACTAGGGAGAGGGACAGGAAAGGAGGGAAGAATGAAAAGGAGGGGGGAAGATAAGAATTCCATGTCACTGGTTTTATATCTCCCCTATCCTCGCTCCTCTAGTGGCTAGCAATCCAGATAGAGATCTCATTAGGCTGAGAGAACCTGCCTCTTCTCCTAGCTCCTTCACCTCAGGAGGGGGAGCAAGGCCCTCCTAGTCTGTGCTCAGGAACAAACCCTTCTCTTCTCTACTGTTTCTCCTCCAAAGAGAAGGAAGCATGATGTGTATTAGACTTGGAGTCAGGGAAGCCTGGATTTACACTCTGCCCCTGTGTGGCAGCTTGGGCCAAATTAGCTGTGTGACCTTGGGCAAATCATTTAATGGCTCCGTGCCTCAGTTTCCTCATCTGTAAAATGAGGGTGTTGGATTTTATGACCTCAGAGTGCCTTGCAGCCTTAAATCTATGATACTAAGATTCTGATCCAGGGATACTGTGTCTGCCTCAAGATATTGCTCAGACAAACCATCTCAGAGGTCAGCCAGGATTCTGTCCTCATTTTTCCTGGGCAGGGACCTCACAAGGCAATTCCCAGGCCTTTGGGAAGCCAGGGATCCTGAAATCCACCATCCTAGCCCCATAAAACTTCCCCATTTGTAAGGGAAAGAGGGGCAACCCAGGAGCTCCAGCGGTCAGGGAGGCATGGCCTCTAGGCATCTGGCTGAGGAGGCTGACAGACCAGACCCTCCATCCCCTCCCTCTACTCTGTCCTGCTCCTTCTAGGCCTGGGGGCAGACAGGGAGGCAGGAGCCCACCCAACCCAGCTCTTAGGCCAGATGGGGAAATGGAGGAGATGGAGGCTTTCTTTGCCTGAGAACCTGGCCCCTGGCATTAATTACTCTTTATTCCATATGCCACCCTATGTGGTGGAACTTTGAAGCCTTCCAAGTCGCAATGCATCAAACGAGGGAGGGGGAGGGGGCCAACAGGAAGAGGCTAGAGGGAGGGATGAGCGCCAGGTCCTGGCTCAGCCCTTCTGGCTTAAAACACAGGAAGAACCTAGTGATGAGGAGTCAGAGCTGACCTCCGCCTTTCTCCCTGTGCCCACGCCCTGCAGTCAGGGGATTTGGGTTCAAATCCTGGCTCAGACTCTTGCTGTGTGACCATAGGCAAGTCACTTAACCTCAGTTTCCTCATTTGTAAAATGAATAAAAATCCTGTCTTGTATTTTTCTGAACATGGGATTTCATCAGCATAGGAGCTCTCTTGCTGTGGATGAATGCCTCTCGTACCATTTATAGTCTTAGAGACTTACCTGTAAGACTTACTGAGAAGTTGAGTGATGTGTCCATGGTTTCACAGCCAGTATCAAACCCAGGTCTTCCTGACTCTCAGTTAGTGCTCTACCTAACATTGCCTCCCAATAATAAAAACTTTTTTGTGCAATGCTTTATGTACATTATTTTATTTGATCTTTATAACAATTCTATGAGGTAAAGGAATTCTCATTTTTTATATGACACAGAAGTAGAGAGACTTGTCCAAGGTCACTTAATGAGAAAGAATGTAAACCGTGACCTGTGTACAGTGCTTTATAGACAGGATTTTACAACGACTGTGTGAGGCAGGTATGGCTTCCTCAACTTACAGATGGGGAAACTGAGGCTTAGGGAGGTTTAGGGAGGACCTATGTGAGGTAGGGCCAAGATGTACAACCTCTCAACCTCATAGACATTCTGCTGACCACTCGACCCTCAGGCATTCCCTTGACCCCTCCCTCCCTCTCCTGCGTTCATTCACTAGAAGTCAATCCATAAACCAAGCAATCCATTCGCATCAAGTGCCTACTGTGTGTCTGTCCCAATACAGCCCCACCCCCACCTATACTCAAACTCATGCTCAAACACCAGAAAGGATTCTGCCTTGACGCTTGGGTCTTGCCATGGGTGGGGTGGCCAAGGCTTTGTCTCATGGTGCCAATATCTTGGAGGGGGGGGGGCTGGGGAGGTGATGCTTCCTTCCCAAAGTGGTCCATTGTGTTTGTTCTATGCGGCATGTACTGCCACCTCTAAAGTCCCCTCTCTGTGATGCTCCTCTCCTTAGCGCCTACCTCCCCCACTGCCGCACCTCTCTCTTCAGGCTCTTTACCCACCTACCCAGCCTCTTCCTACAGATTAAGGAGTGGCAGGCCATGGCTTTATTTGTTTTTTGTCCTTCATTCGGAAAGAGGACCTTGACTCAGGGAGGTGGTGCGGTAACATGCAAGTGAACTGGATTTAAGTGAGTGAGGGCTGTGCAAAGACACCAACCTCACTTTCTCCTCTGGAAGCATCTTGGTCCAGTGGCTAGATATAGATCAGAATGACTGGAGATGGCCCAGGATGCAGTGGGGGGGCCTTGGCCTTTTTAAGCTAAGGTCTTTAACAGGTCTCAGTTTGATTGAAGTAACGCCCATTCGGTGATTAAGGCTAAGTAAAAGATGAGATAGAGAATGGCCTCTTTATCTAGTTAAAAAAAAAATCAATCTAGGAGGGAAAGACCCATGTTGCAGGAATACAAAAGTCAGTCTTTCTGGGGAATAGGTCTCCCCCTTTCCTGGTGAAGCTGTCCCTGGAGCACTATCTCACTGGGGACAGACTATTCTCCCACAAGCAAATTTGCCCTGGGTGCAAGATTTCCTGCCTATGGCTCTGGGCCTTGCTGATCTCATCAGATATCCAGGGTCTCCGCTGCCTCTCAGATCCAATCTAGGGGGCTTTGCCCTTGTCTCAAGGCTTTTTCCTTTCTCTCCTTACCAAGCTTTACTGATCCACTGAATCCAAAGTTAAGGTACCAAAGAGACCTCTTGGATATGACATACCACTCCATTTCCCCATCCATGCCTTAAGGTGAAGGTCCTAATTTTAAAATCTTTGCCCAGTACCTTACATACAGTAGCTGCTTAATAAGTGCCCACCGGATTGTGAATTTGGTCCTTGAGCCTGCTTGGCAACCCAAGCTCCAGAGGTGGGTAGTGTAATGAGGGGAAGGGGGGGACATCAAATTCGTGGACCCAAGTTGAGGCAAAACTCCCAGTGAGTGAGGCCCAACCAGATTAAAATGTAAGTGAGAAATGTTTAACAAAATAAATAAAAATGCAACACAGGTAATATTTATTTGTGGTTTTCCAAGTCAATATGTGGCCTGCAGATTGAACCCAGATTTGAATCGGGCCTCAGACACTTTCCAGCTGTGAGATCCTGAATAAGACATTTCCCCTTTATGGGTCTCAGTTTCCTCATCTGTAAAACGAGAGAATTGGACTCAATGAC